AATCTATAAGCAACCAAACAATCTTAACCGCAATTTTCACCAATATGGGAATCCTCCTTTAGCTTCGCCCCCGTCAAACAATATATAACCAGGTACAGAGTAGAATGCGAGCCAGTTATGTTATATAAGAGCCAACAGGGTGACTGGTGAAACGTCAGCAAATTGGATTCATCGGCAACTGATGCAGGATGAATCCAAAAGATTTGTAAATAGTATAAACAATGCAAAAGTACTATATTATTTTAAAAATAAATAATCCATGGTAAAATAAGATTTTACTACCTGAATTTTGCAGATTTCCTGTAGAATTACAATAAAAAATTAAAACTAAACAAAATTAAAAAAAATTTACTGTTAAGTAATTTTTAGCAAACTAATGTTGTTATTTTCAGTGACATTTTTTATACAAAACTTTTAATGCTACTTGAGAAATTTTCACAATTCTGTTTAGTGCTCCCTCATAATTATGATTTATCATTTGCGGAAACAGTATTTTATCATTGCATTAACCGCAATCAAAATGACTGTCTGCCAATAGTTATAGTTATAGAAAACCGAACCCGAACCCGAATAAAAAAAACTTTAGGGACCACGTGAATTTAAAAAACCTACATAAATGTTAAATTGGCACAAAATAAAAATATAATCAATTTTGTTTCGAGGCTATAACAATTTTTCCTATATTGTAAAGTCAACCCACAAAAAAGTTAGTGCAGTTTTGGTTATCGGTACACCTCAAAAGTTGACTCAAATGACTAAAATTTGACATTTATAATTTTAGTGTTAATAAAAAACCGTTTCACCGCTATTTCAGGTTTCTCTAGAAAACCCGAACTTATTTTGGACATAGAATAAGTTGTTATACTTCAGCCCACTAAAAATTTAAAATATACCGAGAAAAAGTGTGAGAATGTATTACAGTCGACGCGCTTGCAAGATCACCTTATTTGGACGAAACAGAGTACCTATTAATGATAACAATAATAATAAATCATAAAAAAAATTGGAACTCTCTGGTATCACTAAAGTGACCGCTACGAATATTATTGCGGTGCCGCTGTTTCTCTATTTCTTCGAGGTGGACAAATGTAGACGAGAAAAGTTGCGAGCTTTGGATATGAGCATGATGCATCACAATCGTAGCATTCATCCCCGCTCATTCGTTTCCCGAATACATCTTCCACGAGATCATGGAGGAAGAGGCCTTATAAGTCTGGAGTGTCTGCACAACAGGCTTGTTTTGGGCATTGCCTGCAAAATCGCCAATAGCAGGGACCTACTTTTGAGACTTGTGAGGGATCCCGAAGTTGCTAATGCCGGAGCATTCCTCTTTAGAGCAGCAGGATAAGCGGCAGACCGTTTAGGTCTCACCTTCACATTGGATACAGATAGCCAGCACTCAATTACTAAGCTTGACCCGGAGGTCAGGAAATCCCCGATTAAGAGAGCGGAACAGCAAAAGCTAAAAGAAGACCACGTTAGTAAGCCGCACCATGGATTGTTCTACAGGCACCTCCAAACTCTGAACCTGTCTAGGAGACTCACTTTCGGGTTCCTAAAATCTCTTTGGCCTTAAGTCTGAGACTGACGGATTTCTGCTTGCCTGCCAGGACACCCTCGCATACCGTAGTCAATTCTCTAACGTCGCTGACATTAGCTGCAGGACCTGCCGTCAGCATCCCGAGATTATCAGATAGATTCTTGAAGGAAGTAAAGAGAATACCGGCATGTCGCGCATCGGCTGAACATCTGGCGGTACACATACAGAAGGCCGTAGTCCTCGCGTCCCTCCGTTTCTTGAGGCAAATGAATTTGAAAGATTACCACTGACCGAGGGGACGCAAGGAGTGGTCGTCATCTTGATTGGTCTTCCGCGTGACGCCATGTGGAGTCAGAGCCATAGGATAAGTTACGACGGATTTTTGCTACATAATGATATTAAGGTGACAGATATCATCCAGCTGCTTCCTAAAACCTCAAAGCACCAGGAGAACCCTTCCAAATATCGACCAATAACCTGTTTGCCCACTGTATATAAAATTTTCACGTCGATCTTGTTTGAAAAAATGTACGAACGTCTAGATAATTGCAAATTATTGGACGAGGAGCAGAAAAAGGATGTAGGAAGGAATCAAGGAGTACAAAGGAGCAGCTAATTATCGATTCTGTAATCATGAAATGTGCTAAACGAAAGAAGAGCTCGCTATAAATTGCATGTACAGACAACCTATGACACCATACCGCACTCTTGCTTGACGGAGCTATTGGAACTCTACAAAATATCACACAGTTTTTTAAGTTTTCCATGACACAGTGGACTACAAAACTACATAAAACACTCCGAAAATATCATCAATGTTGAAACAGTAAAAAGAAAAACAGGGAGATGAGTTGAGCCCACTATTGTTTTGTTTTTCTCAATAAACGGATAAAAGGTTATATCTTCGAACAAGGCGAAGAACAACAATTATATCAGTTATGGTACATGGATGATCTTAAACTGTTCGCAAAAACGAAGAACCACTTGCATGATTTGCTCCCATGTATTGGTAGATTCGGTACTGATATCGAAATACAGTTTGGGTTGGACAAGTGCAGAATACGCTGCGTGGAAAAGGGAAAATGGTCCCAACATACGCGATATGACGCTAGTAAAAGGCTGGGAATCATTCAGGGAATGAGGAGAACGAAAAATTTAAGTGTCTGGGTTACCTCCACATCGAAGGAATAGATCACAAGAAGGCTAAATCCAACTTGAACAATGAATACCATAGATATATACATAGTATCCTAAAGGCACAAAATGTAGCAACAGCGGTCAGCACTTACGCAAGTTCGGCAGTTGCCTACAGTTTCAATGTTATCAAATGGACCCCTGCAGAATTGGAAGAACTGAATACTTAGTCGACCCGATATCGATCGCAGCATCCTCAGTCAGGGATAGAAAGATTCCATTTATTACGGAAGCATGGAGGAAGAGAAGAAAAATTTTCCGTGAAAAAGTAAGAACAAGCCAACTTTATCGGGCAGTAATGAGTTCTGACACCACTGAAGTTATTGGATCAAAACTTTGATTCCACAGCAAATATGAAGGCACCAGAACAACTTAAAGACCAATGGAAACGCAAAGCGTTGCACGGGAGATATCTCCACTCTATCGAATGTGATGAGATGAACAGTATTGCGTCTTCGGCCTGCTAAAGAACGGGAAATATATTTCTCGAAACAGGTCTTTATATCCGCATTGCAGGATCAGGCAACACCAACCAGAGTATACAGAAAAGAGATCCTACGTGAACAGATCCCGAATTATAGATGTCATATGGGTGGAAAGAAGAGAGAGTAGCTGGCTGGATACTCTGTATTAGCGGCTAAACATTATTTGTCAGACATAACAGAGTCGCTGGTGTAATACATCATGCGCAAAAGTTCAAATTTATGAACATACAAGACATAACATCGTACTATGAGGATGCACCAACACCAATCCGTGAAGATGAAAGGGTGCGTCTGTATTGGGGAAGGACAATTCCTACCGACCGCCCAACCCAAACAATATATATTGTACCTACCTTAAGGAGGAGAAAATCGGCTACATTTTGGACATCGTTGTATCCCTTCCTAACAACATAAGGAAAAAATACACAGACAAAATAAATAAATACCTACCGCTAGCCGATGAGATTCAGAAGATGTGGAAAGCCTAAAAGAAAGAAACTTTAGAGAGCCCCTTTGAACATATTCAAGAGACCGAAGACCGAAGACGAATACAAGAATCGAAACATTAAATCCAAATAATTTAACAGAAGACTTGACTATAATATCAATGTGTTGAACAAACGAAAGCTGTGAATGAAAAGTCACACTAAAATCACTAATAGAAGCTACATCTGGGTAAATTTAATTTGTAGAAAAATAATAATATATCCATACATTTTTCATCCAGGTGATAAAGATCGAGAACAAGAATGGCGCACGATTAGAACCGTGAGGTACGCCGGTTGTTGCGTCAAACTGCGTCGACTCGAATCCATTATAGTTTACTGAGAGCAGTCAAGTGTGTATATAAGTGTATATGAAAGTGGCATCAACACGCGGTCAAAAGCCTTAGCAACATCCAAATAAACTACATCAACCTAAATTCCCTTTTCGAGAGACTCTGCAATATACTGCGTCAGTTCTGCTAAGTTGGAAGTAGCAGATCGTCCTGCTGTGAAGCCGTGTTGATTAGGTGAAATAAGAAATTTAATATGACGAGCCAAATCAGTTTTTCAAAGGTTTTAGTAAAAGTTGATCGTAATTGCCCGATAATTTTTAATATGATCAGGGAGGATAGAGGGGAGGCGAAAATTTTAACGCAATCCCTAACAATGAAGCCCGGAACCTTGTCACATCCAGCTGTAAGTTTATTCAGCGTAGCTCACAAGGCTCTCATTAACTCTAGGCTAATAATATAAATAGACGGGTTGGATGTACAAGTTCGTGGTAAGGTGATGTCACTTTTAGAACCATAAACACTACTGAAATACTCTGCAAAGGAATCAACGACAGCCTGAAGGATGTCAACAGTTTCATTATTAAATTCAAGCGAAAGAGGTATCTTATTTACATAGATCCAAAATATTTTAGAATCAGTAGCAACGTAAGTCTCCACATGCTTCGAATAATTTTCATAAGTCATTTTAGACGCAGATTTCGTCTTCTCATTCTACAGAATTCCCGATAATAGTATTAACCATTAGTTGGCCTAAATTTCCTGTAATAATTCAGGAAAATTTGGTTTTCTCAAGACCCAAGAGCCGCGTTACTGTTTTACTGAACTATAGGCGGAAATCCGCTCTCAGAACCTCAATTTGTTTGAACAAATCAAGAGTTCTCGCATTGGGTTAGGTAACACGTCATTATTCGGGGTTTTACATCATGAATATCAGCAATAACAAAACGACTTATATTAAAATCGCCGACAATAATAACACGACTCTGATTCACCAATAACGGTTCAAAGTTTATTCAAATTAAAATTAAAGCACAGTACAATTTTACCTTTTAATGTTGTTCACATATACAGATATTTTTATCCCTGTAAAAACAACCGTGTTATGAGTCATGAGCAATTTTTCTACAGGCATTATATGTGTACTTGCATAATACCTAGCGCAATAACACGGAAAGAAAAAAATTATTGCGAAATTAACGTTTAAAATCTCATATATTACCGAAACATCAATTATGATTTTTGACCACTTTGACGGATGGGATAAATTTTATACCATGAGAGTACGCATTCTGGGGCAGCAGCGACTGCAAAAACCGGTTAGTCATCAAAGCGGTGAGACCCCAGATTTTCCTTTTGCCTCCCAAAAATACCGGCATCGAAAGAAATCCGCTTCGGAATTGCGTATACTTAATACGTTCCGGGTCGCACAAGTCCTCCAACGGCACGGCGAAGACGTCTTCCACCTCCGAAGGATTCACTTTTAAGTCACCGAACCTGAAATGGCTTTTAATTCGCCCAATCACCGGCGTGACGCCCGTTTCGTGTCGCGTCACGATTTCACAACCTCTTCCCCAAATTTCAACGTCACTTTCGTTAATCCCCAATTCTTCGTGGGTCTCCCTGAGGGCGGTCTCCTCCATGCTTTTGTCCGTGACGTCCTGCATGCCCCCCGGAAAACTCACTTGACCTCGATGCAATTTTAAATTGGCCGCTCGTAAAGTGTACAGTAGCGACACCTTGTCGTCGATAACGCAAAGCGGGATCAAAACAGCTGCTCGCTTCGCCGGCTGGTGAGCGATCATCCTTACGGGCTTCAAGCTTGAGAATTTGGCCGCCGTTTTTTTTATATTCTCGTGGCTAAAAATATATTCCGCTGAGAAGAAACTGAAACGTCTGTTGCCCGCAAAACTCCACGAAACTGTCCGACATATGGTCACCATTTTACCCAGGCTAGGGACCACGCAAACATCACAAGAATTTGACTACTGTCACATAACCCGGTGTCATTTTTAGAACTGTCAAGATGTGTACGCTGCCGCTTTCGATTCGGACGCACTTACAATAAAATTATGAGTTTCTGATTGTATAATATCCAACTCCCATGGATTTTACTATGAATTCGATGGGAGCGAGCGTAATATTTGTACTTAACCTGCAAATTTGTATCGACCTAGATTGAAACGCGAATGACACGGTTAAAATTGGACTTTGAATTGTAAGTAAAATGAAGCGTTTTCCTAGCCATTCTATTTAACCGTTGATCTGGATCCGGCCAGTTTTTCTGTCGATAGTTTAGTGCAAGCCATTATAGGTAATTTCAAAACAAAAAACAAATTCATAAGCGAGAGTTGAGTGGAATCAGATTTTAAAGGTTAGCGTTGCTAAAATCAGTTGTTGAGTACGTGGATGATGTCTAATTTGCAAACATTCATATAATTCTTAAACATTGAACGACGTTTGGGAAATTTTCGAAGACGAAGACAGTTTAATTCGAATATTTCTTTCGAAAAACTTTATCCATTCTTAAATAGCAAAATTCCAGTTACAAAGAAATAAAATCTATATTCAAAAACTTGCAATTTTTAGAAAATCAATAAATAAATGGACATAAATATGCAAGAATAAGATGATAATTATCAAAAATTGGCAATAAAAGAAACGAGTCATATTAAGAAGAGATAAATGCGGTAAACGATCAAAAATATATCACTAATTTAAGTCAGTTACAACACAATTTAAAAACATAATCTAAATTGAATATTAAATTAATTTTCTTATAAATGATCTAAATGAAACATCAAAAAATAATGCCATTAATCAGAAATATGTTGCAATATCACCTAAATGATTTGCCTGAATAAGTGAAACACATTCCTAAATTGCAAAATTCCAGTTAAAACTAAATAAAATATATATTCAATACTGTGCATAAAAATATGTCGGAGTGTCAAGCCAACTTTAAGAACATCTATAAATTGACATAAATTTGCAAGAGTGAGTCAGTTACTGCACAATTTAATAACATAATCTAAATTAGAAATTAAATTCACTTTCTTACAAATAATCTAAATAACATATCAAAAAATATTAAAATTAACCAGAAATATGTTGCAGTACCCCATATAAATAATTTTCTTGAAAAAATAAAACATATTCTTGAAAAGAAAAATTCCAGTTAAAAAGAAATAAAATGTTCAATACCTTGTTTAGAAATATGTTAGAATGTCAAGCCAAATTTTAGAAAATCTATTCATGGACGTAAATATGCATGAACTCGAAAATTTAGCTAACCGTGAATTATAACAAGATCATAATTATCAAAAATTGACAATAAAAGGAATGAATCATATTAAAAAAGAAGTAAATTGTGTAAATGATCAAGGTATTACTAATTTAAGTCAGTTATAGCACAATTTAAAAACATAATTTAAATAAAAATTAAATTCACTTTCAGATAATTAATCTAAATAAAATATCAGAAATATTCGCCACAAGTCTTACAAATCAATAACATAAATTTTTACTCCATTAAAAAGCAAAATTCCAGTTGAAAAGCAATATTTTGGAAAAAAACATGTTGGAATGACAAACCAACATTTAGAAAATCTAAGCGTAAAACCCCAATATATACGCATAAAATTTTCAGAATGTATGCATCGAAATGAACAAAAAATGCAAATATGCATTTTTATTATATGAAAAATTATTAATATTAATTTTATTTTAATTCGAGCCAGGTCGATTTCTATACAAATCAACCTTCAGAAGTCCTATAATTTTTTATCTAATATCACAGATCTATTTAAATAAATAGAAATGCAACAAACAAAATTGTAACAAAAGTTTTTATTCCTAGATTTATTGATGCATGGCAAATTGCAAAAGATAAAAATCTTACAGTGAAATAATATAATGCAATTTTTTGCTGTTATTTAAAACAATTGATAACAAAAATTTTTATTTGAAAATTTCCGAAAAGAAAATTTATCTGTAAACGTATGTTTAAAAATGAAAAAACTTCGCTCAATATCTACAGAAGTCATGGGACAGTATTTTAATTTTCAAAATAAGTATGTTTCTAATTTATACGAATCCGGTTCTCTTTCGAAATTAGTGAAATTGTAAAAACATTGAAATATTTTTTAGGATTTCGAAGCCTGTGGCGTTGTTTTCAATTACTGACATAAGTGTTTTTATAACCGACGCCGCAACACCACCTGACACTTTTTTCAAATGTACTTCAAGCCACTTAATCTGTCAAAGTAAAGAATCCAATTTCGTAAGTGCTATAGGTACAAAATAATAATTTGTTTTTATAAGCATTAAATTTTCTTTCACTGTTATACTGTTAGAAAAAAGAGTTTTGTATTTGTCAGATTTTCGACAAGCGGTCTTTTACATTCTGCCACCCTATTGATACCATGAGCCAAAGAAGTAAAATGAAATAGGTTCGAATAAAATATTTTTTAAATTTTGCATAGACTTAATCATATAATTTTCTGTCGGAATAAGTTATTTAATGTTTATTGAATAAATCTGATTACACTTAAATTGTTGTTTTTTTCCAATTATTTGGATGCAATTAAATAGGATCCATCATAATAATAATCAATGAGTTAGCTGTTTCATCAACCACAAAATAATAATTATAATAATAATTTTCACTTTTTTTACTACCTTTCCGTACAGTTGACTCGTTCGGTATATTAAATTTACAATATTTTGTCAAAAATGATCTTAAATTCGAGTTATCTAGTTTTTTAAGTAGTATATAGGCTCCAATAAATGCTTTACATAAGTTCAAATAGAACTGAGCTTGTTAGCTGTTTTTTGGATTTTCTTCAAGAAAATGTATTGTTTGGTGGGAGGATTCATTGCGTTGTTGATTTGACATGCGGAGTTACAATATATTTTTTAGCTCCAACATCCAAAAAAGCAATTATGGGTTAACAGTCGTTTAAAAAACGAATTTATATAATCCAAATAAAATATTTGATTAAACAGCTTTTGAAAATACATTAAATTATTTGACATTAACTATTAATAATTTGCTTGACTACATAATTTTTAAAAGCAGTAATCTTATACCAAATAACATATACAAATACAATATATTTTTCTTTTTTTACAATAAAATATTTCAGTTGAAAAATTTTATAAATACTTTAATTGTTAACATTGACTACCAATAATGTGCCAAAATAAATAATTTATAAAAGTCAAAATTTTCTATTTTACCAAAGAACAATTTTGGGAAAAGCTGTACAAAAAAAATTGCCACATGGGTCTTATTTGGCAATAAAATGCAAGAAATTCTCTATTTTTGTTTTGTACAAAATAAACAACACATTCTCTTCCTTACTTATAACGAATATTCGATTAAAACTTTAATATAAGCTTTACCTTTTATTTGAAGGATGCTATTTTTTATTTTTCATTTAATAAGAAAATCCTTGGATTATATAATAAACTACTTGAAATTTAAGAATGCCATTTTAAGAAAGTATAATTAACTTAAGGTAATTAACATTGCACCAATTTAAAAATCTTGAGTATTAGGCTATTTTTGGATCTAGTTTAATTTTTTCCCTGCGTAAAAAATAATTTTATTAACGAAGTAACTAGAATCGTTTAATTGATGAATTCTCAAAGAAATACGATGATTAAGATTATTGTTATGACAAACTTAATCTGACTTAAATTGTCATTATTTATGGAAGTCGGATATAGGATTAGATGCGGTTTTTGTTTATTTCATTGCAATATTTTTTTAAAAAAAACATGTTAAAAAACGCGTAACGAAAATGCTTAATTTTATATATATATATATATATATATATATATATATATATATATATATATATATATATATATATATATATATATATATATATATATATATATATATATAATATATTTATTGAAATGGGACCTTATTGCCCTATTTTGGGTGAAAACTTGCTATTATATTGTTAGGATATTTTTTTTTTTGGATTTAAAAGCAGTTCTCGCTAAATTTTTTGCCCACCCTGTATGAGATGGCAAGCCTTTCATTATTATTGAGATATAGAATATGGTCCATGGTTTAACTTTACTGCAGATTCCTCTTACACACCTTAAATAATTGTCATGTATTTGAGAAATTAAAGTTAGGTTAAATTTTGCCGAAATTAAAATTATTTGAAAAACCTTGAAGTTTATCATAAACACTATATAAATTCTATAACCCGCCCCAAAAGCAAAACCTTTTAGGAACCTCACATTTTGATCACAATATTCCGTATAGAATAACCCTGTATATATTTTGTCAAACTATCTGGTTGTCCGGATGTCTGCTTCCGCGCTCATTGTATTCGTAAACCATTAATTTTTTTATAGTTAATGATTATGCATTTATAGGAAGTGTGAATAAAACAAATTAAGAATATCCGCGCAGATTAATTTTATTGCTTCATTCTATGACCGAGGAACATTTTATTCGACATCTACAACATCTTCATCCACCGCTTTGAAAAATAAGTTTCCAAACAATTTTAACTCACTAAAATCGTCGACATCACTATTCAGTTTTCTCAGTTTTTTGTTTTCTCCGGCTGGAGTACAAAACTTCCACAGTTTACTGAAAAAAACACTTTTCGGTCTCATCAACTTTTCGCTCATACCGAGCCCAGTTTTTTGCAACCAAAATAAAGCCGTTAAGCCAAACGCGAATAGGAATAAAATCCTCGGGAACGTTTTCATCTTATGTCGTGTATAGTAATAAAAGTGCCCGATAGAACTGCCGAAATAAATCGCTTGATAAGTGACCGCAACTTTCGGTACTGTTTAATTATAAACAATACGTAGGTAAGCATTTCCTATTTCCCTTGGATAAAATACTATCTATCGTACGAATAACAGGCCTATTCTTATGCAACGGGAATTTGAAATTCTTCCATTTTTTACTGGTAATTTGTTTATATAAATAAATAAACTAACTTTCCTAATAAAAAGGCAATACAACAGAATTACAAACAAAAGTAGGTATTTATAAAATTATATAAGATTAAGTATACTAAATAAACAATAAAAACCGAATATAATTAATCTTCTTTCCTCTCCATTCATATTCATATGAACTTTCTTTAATTTAAATTTAATTATAACAATTTTCTAAGGATATCGTGGAAGAAAGGCGTACTGAAATAAAAGTGCTTAAGGTTGTATAAAGATATCTAATAGCAAATATATTGACAATTTCGGTTCTCTAGCAGAAGTAGCTTTTTTAGATTTACAAGTAGTGCACTAACTACTATTTTTTAAAGTTACAAATCTAAGTTATTCGTCAATTAAAAAAAAGTGATGAAAAGAAAAACAATCGAAATAGGCATTATCCGATAAAAAATAAAAATGATTTTTCTAACTCTACTCCGTATAAATACTTGTCAGTCAATAAAGCGTGCCAATTGGGCTTCATAAAAATGACAAAATCCGTTTTAACGTTAAAAAATTTATTTTCGGTTCAGCTATTTGGTATAGTAGTTACAATTTTTCAGGGAGTAATTATTTTTTATTAAAAATTTGAATAAATCGATACCACCGCATATTTTTCTGACATCAAGTCTTCGGTATATCGATTGTTACTGGGTTTGAAGGCGGACTTTGTCTAAGAAGGCAATACGATAGAGTTACAAACAAAATTAGATATATTTAGAATTATATAACAATAAACGTACTAAATAAACAACGAATACTTCAAGGCAAAAAAAATAACTGGTTACAAATATACTGACAATTTCGGTTCTCTGGCAGAGGTGTACTTAGTATTACAAGCTCGCACTAAGTGCCATTTACTTAATTAACAAATCCATACTTATTTCTGGATTTTTAAAACTTGGAATGGAAAAAGAATAGAAAGCCGATATAAAGAAAAACTATTGAAAAACAAATAAAATAGAAGTCCTATAAAAAATTAAAAAGTCCCTTCGGTCATCTGAAGGCTTTTGATATAATTGATCCCAGTCTTATTATGGATCAGCTTTCACAGTATAAGATGCATTTGTAATTCTGAACAGGACACAGAAAAAACCAACCTTGCGGCATTTTCTAAATGCAAAAGAGATCGTTCTCTTTATGTTAAATTAAATGGGAAGCAAATAGAATGCCTAACGCATAAAATTCTTGGGGGAGCAGAGATCAGAGTATTTTTGAAATCTGTGTGTCTGTAAGAATTATTAATTCTGTTATCAAGGCTGTTATTTGTTCGTTGTTTGACATCAGTTTCTAAATTCAGTCCTTGGCGTATTAACAATTTTGAAAACGAATGGTCGAGTTTACTAATGAGGGGTTGGCAGATATGTATGGCTTGGCAGATGCCCGTGTGCCGGAAGCAAGGCGATTATTTCAAGAGCGCTGTCCTAATAGAATCATACCAGATAGACGAACATTTTCAAATGTATATAGAAGGTTGACTGAAACAGGTACTTTGAGGGCTAATAATCACTTAAAAGGAGTCCATCGACTGTAAAAACTCCAGAAATTGAAGAAGCAATTTTAAGTTCTATTAATGAAAATCCTAAACGTAGTACTAGAAACCTGAATGTCTCGCACACCTTGGTTTGGAAAATTTTGCACGATTTTCTATTGGGCCCATATCATATTCAACGAGTTCAAGCGTTACTTCACAGAGATTTTTTTTTGCCTGTTAATTTTTGGACAAAATTGCGCCATATTCCTTGTGGACTGTATATTGTATACAGGGGAAGATAGTTTTCCCATAAATGCAATCAGAAATTACCAAAACTAACCACATTTGGGCCGATCCCCCATGCAGTTATAGAATTCAAACATCTAGAACTTCTATCGTAAATATTTGGGCTGGAATTTTTGGAAATTACTTAATTGGACACTTTTTCCTAACCGAAAGGTTAAATTTCCATAATTATCGCCGGTTTTTAGAAGAGAATTTGCCAGTATTGCTAGAAGTACCAGATTAAAGTAGGAATGTTCATGCACGGCGGCGGTCCTGCTCACTTTAATGTTGCAGTAGGAGAATATTTAAATTACACATTTATTAACCGATATGTGGTAACAGCGGACGTCAACCATGGCCCCTAGGTCGCCAGATTTAAATAGTTTGGGGCTATCTTAAACATCTGGTTTATCGCACCCTAGTTTACACTGTAGAAGAGCCGAAGTATCGTAAAGGGTGATTCAATGAAGGTTTCCACATTAAAATAAACATTTTTATTTGCCTTTTTAGATTAGTATATTAGAATTAGGTATGAAAAATGATGTCATTCAAATGACCCCCGCGACTCATTTGGCGTGACGTAATCAGTCTGCTATTTCGATACCCCAAAAAAAAAATCTAGGGGAGTAAGATCACATGATCGCGGCGGCCAATTGATATCGCCGTTATGTGAGATAATCCGACCAGGAAATTTGCCCCGCAGCAATTGCATCGTTTCTCTGGAGGTGTGATAAATGGCTCCATCCTGTTGGAACCACAAATCTTCAATGTCCATACCTTCCAACTGCTCCTAGAAAAAATCAAATATCATGTTTCGATAGCGAACACCACACACAAACCGTGACAGCGTTCTCCGCATTACCCTCGAAAAAAAAGGGCCGACTATTCCTTTGCATCAAAATGCGCACCAAACAGTCAATTTTTGGGGATGCATTGCTTTTTGAACATTTCTCTTGGATTTTCTAATCCCCAAATACGAGCACTGTGTTTGTTTACAAAGCCACCAACATGAAAATGTGCTTCATCAAGATGATTTTCGTTGAAAAATGAGCCCCTTGTTCTCGTATCCATTCTGCAAACACGCGCCGCTGTTGATGATGTCGAGGTTTCAACTCCTGAGTTATTTGGACTTTACGTGGGTGTAGATGTAAGTCTTTTGTTAAAATTCGCTGTGTGATTGAATACGTAAGGCCCACTTGCTGCGATCGATGACGAATCGATATGTTTGGATCTTCGGCTACACTTTCGCGAATAATGGCAATATTTTGATCTGACTAACCTGCACGAGCACGTTTGGAGACTTTGAGGTTAGTTGCAGATCCATTTTGCTCAAATTTTTGAACCACATTCCAAATTGTCCTCTCAGAAGGTCGATTTTGCGCGCCGAAAAATTCACGTAGAGCCCGAAATGCATTTTTTTCTTGATCGACCATGTTCATACTAGGCTTGCACAATTTTTACAAGTTGTTCAGTCGTATATTGCTCCATGACTAATTTTGTTTATGTTTTGAGATTAGAAATCTCATATGATAATAAACAAATACAGTGACGCTTCAAAAATATTTCAGATTGTAATGTGGAAACTCTTATTGAATCACCCGTTATAAGAGCTTCCTGCGGTTTAATAAGAAACACTGGAGGCATACTTCAGAGTGGGCGGCAATATGGGGAAAAGAGCTGAAGCGTGTATCTTTCAAGGTGAAGGACACTTTCAATAACTTATGTTTCCCTTTTTTTCAAAAATGTCATAAAATTATTAACAAACAGTTTTGTAAAAAAATATTAACAGTGTGTGTCTTCTTTTTTTAATAAAAATCGTTTATTATTTAACTTGTTGTTGGCATGTTATGTTATTTCATTAAAAGTGTAAAAGAGAAGTCTTATTTTTTTTTCTAAAGGACACTAGTTGGTAACTAAAAACTAGATATTTTGTTTAAGATATTTTATTATTTAAAAAAAAATGTTTTACTTTGAAATAAAAACTGATTTCTCAGTCATATTAACGATATTGTTAGGACCATGCATGTAAGAAGCTTTTATTTTTTTCAGCGAAAATTGTACATTGGATCGAAAAAAATCAAGAAATTTAAATGTCTTTAGAAATGCTTGGAGATTATAAGAAATATTTTTATTTTAAGAGTAATCAGTGGCGTGCCATGAATATTTGCGAAAATAGACAGGTGAAATTCCGTACGCAGGCCACTGGTGTATTTTAAAAAAAATTGAAGTACACTAAATAATGCCTCTCAATACATAATACATGTATGCCGAAGTTCATTAAAATATCTATATTATTTTTGAAAATGTTACCACCCAGTGTCTCAGAAGTTAAGACGTTTAGGACATAAGTTCCTACGAAGTTTTCTTTTGAAAATGGACCTAAAAATCACGTCCTTAATTGTTGACACTCCATTAGAAGTCACCTGGTATTTAAAAGGCGGCTTTTGTCGATATATAAATGTTATTAAATTAAAATTCAAGCCTTATCTCATAATTTTCGCGGATTACAAAGGTAATACGTCACTGTCGTGATAGTTAGATAAAATATTAATCATAGCTTGTTTTTCAAATACGAGACAAATAATTTTGTGCCATTTGGTTTAAGGTTGAGGTTGAGGTAAATAAAACCACTACAACTTTGATGATGTCTTGTATATTTACAAGTAATTAATTAGTCAATATCTCTCGAATGTTTCCTAAAGTCGATCATTTTTCCATGAGTCGATTCGGTTTTTTTGAAGGGTTAATTCTCAGTAGAAAACAGGTTCGATCGGAACTTCCAAAATCGGAGGATTGTCGTTTAGTCCGCGCTGCCTCACGCTTTCGGAGAGCTTGGATATTTCGTTCTGATCGTCGCACCTTCCATTGCTGAGAACTCTGATTCCAACCTGTCCTCTTGAAGTTATTTTTTTGGCGTCGCATTCGAATGAACAATAGTTTGAGTATGTTTGGCCATTAGATGCACATACCGGAGCGTAGTGTCTCGGACAAACGCATAATGGAAAACCTACACGTAATAAAATTACTGAATAAGACATTAAAAAATAAGAAACGTAAAAAAATCTTTATTCAAAGCAGACGTTGTAATAAAATTTGGCTGTTTATCGCACTTTTTGCATATTATAGTTTTTCTGCGATCGTTAGTTTTTGGGTAAATTTTTGTAAAACAACACGAATACATTCACTGACATGACTGTCAGAATTGCTCTAACGTTGAGATACACATATCTGCTATATGTTCCTGGTAGAAACACCATTCCAATTAAGCAGTCTCATACCACACCATAAATGGTAAAATTCGCTTCATCGGAAACCAGAATCAGCATCAGTAGTATCAGCGCAAAAGTGATTGACAAAGCACAATACGTGGAGAAAAATCTGCAGGATTAATATGGTACGGATATAACAAATTGTCCTTGAGAATTTGCCAAACAGTTCCATTACTTACATTCAAAATCTTAACAATTTTTGAAGTACAAGCACTTGAATCTTCTTCGGTCATTTTCAGTACATTCTCTCAAAGACCACTACGATTAAGAAACCTTTCAAAGTGAGGGCTGCGTAATGATGCGCAGTTCTTTTCTAGTCATATTTGTGATTAAATAGTAAGATATTTATATTTTATCAATCGTTCCAGATGCCTAGAAATTACACTTGTAAGACTACCATTCTTTCTTACACAGCTGAAAATCTTCAAAAAGCTCCAGATGCAATAAGATATGATGGCTGAAAAATTATTGAAGCAGGAAATACTTCCAGATAACCGAATCAACTGTAAGAAAAAAAAATTTCGAAAATGATCTCAAGCAGCCTCGCCTATTCCGTAAGACTGTAGTCTCGAGAGATATTGAAGTCGAGTTAAAGGAGTATGTTTTACTATTTTAAAAAATTACGAAAATTACATTTGCAGAACAACTAAGTCATAATTATAATCCTTTAATAAAGAAGCTATAGGAATATTTTATTGTAATATTTAACTTCAAATGCAGAAGATTTGGTTTAGGACTATCACGCGTGTTTTTTCTGCGACTGGGAATATGAATGCCAGCAACTCTTCAAACAAACGGTGGGTGCTTTCTACAGATGTTCAAAGAATGGTTGGATCAACCTGCTAATCTGAACGCATGCTTCTGATTCTGGTTAATCATAACAGCCACATTTTGATTGGTGCATACCATACCATACCATCATCTTCAGCCGTTAGAGTTGACATTTTTTTATGCTGATGATTTTGCTTCTTCCAGGAAAAGATTTCGCTATAGAAGGCAGTTCTGACCAAGAGTCGAAAGCAACGTAGCATTGCCAAATACTAAGGCAAATTGCTCAACCAAAGAGAATTATTTTCTTACCTTGTCTCCTATACCAAAGACAAATGTTACAAAAGAAGTAAAAAGAAAAAGACGCGAGAAACAGTGTTCAAAATTTCTTACAAGCACGTCTGTCAGGAAAAAACTAGAAACCGCTGAAACAAAGAAAAGATCAAGGGAAGAAAATCTAAAGAGTCAAAATAAGTACGACACTAAGGGAAAATATTTAAATACAAAAATTCATTTATAGTATTGTATGAATACAGGGTGTTCCGTTGTGCCATGACAGTAACCAACTTTATTTTTTTGAGTAGTTTTTGAGAAAAATGAACTCTTCCATTTTTTTTTGGGAAAACATGTATTTGAAAAAAATTTGTTTTTTTAACTTGGAAGCGAAAATTGGGGATTTTTATTATTGATCCGTGGAAGTGGTTAATATTTAATGCTTTGGGGAAAATATATTATAAGAAGTGGTCACAAATGACCATCAAAAAAATGTTTCTAATAAAAAAAAAAACGATTTTTTAAAGGGAACATCCTACATTTAGCACCTTTATTGAGTTAGGATTAAATTCTGTCTCATTTCACATATATAGCTTTTATTACAAAAATTGGAAGTTTAGAAGTTATGGGCAATTTTCTGCAGCAACTCGTGTATTTTATTTTAAATCTAACTAAATCTATATAATACCTTATTGAAACTAAGTTTTTTTAAACACTAATGACTTAAATTCAATATAAAATCAAAAAGTAATGCAAGTAAATATAACTTATTACTATTACTATTAATTTCATTATATTATGATTTCAGTTTCTTATACTTACAAGATATCCATTAAAAAAAACACTAATAAAATTTAGTTTAGTTGTTACCAACTTTTTTTAATAACACAACAAAAACAACCCTGTATACATAAATATACTATAAATAAAATATATACTTAGGGCCAAATATTTTTTGTATTTATTTTTTTTTCCTCGGGGTCGTAAGTTATTGAGTCATATTACGACAGATAGATACAAATAGTTGACAAATAGTTTTTATTTTTTATCTCGAATAAGAAGCGAGATATGAGAAAAATCCAAGAAACAAAAAAGTATTAAAGACCCTGATAAATTTTTATTATCAGCTCATTACTACTAAAAACAACTTGCCCAAATCACACAAAAAAATTATAACTCTGTATCAAGGACACAATGCATTTCCGGACCTCCATAAACCCGAACTTTTTTCATAAAATGATGTGAGGAATCACCCTCTATGTGGTAATTTTCATTTTTAACTTTCTGTACATTTATCACGGGGCATGAAATAAAGTTTTTATTACCGGCATACCAAGCACTGATAGTTAAAAGTAAATGGATGGATACTAACCTTCAGCATCCAATACGCCATCAACTTCGAGCGACTTCGATGCACCGAATAAACAAACGAAGGATGCGATGACACATAAGGCTACCTTCATATTTTCTGCTTACTATTTGGCGTTGCAACTTTTATTTTTGATATGCGATTATGGAAGGCGATATTTAAAAGCGACACACGACAGATAAGAGACATGTTCTTATCTTGAATAATCGATGGCGGTCTGATATCGACACTGGCGTGTAACTTTATGTGTCTCATTTTTTATATTCGCTCGAAATCCGGTAAACGTAAAATCTCACTCACAAACAATGCTCTTATTCAACTATCAAAATTTTCTCCCGTTCTTGGCCGCTTTGACGACAGTTTTATCATCAGCGCCGGATGATTTGTGTGTGTGTCCCAGAATATTGGATCCCGTCTGCGCCAGCAATGGAGAAACTTATGGAAACATGTGTCTTTTTCAATGCGAAGCCCGCAAATATAGCGAGAGGGGTTTTGGCACCATTCAAATGTTGAAAAGAGGCAAGTGCGGAGACGAAAATTTTGAAGACCTGTAGAACCTTCCAAATTTGTTAAATTAAGCTTGAATGTAGGTCGCTGCTTTACCAATAAATATTTTGTTTTAATGTAAGTGTCGCAAATCCTATCATTTTTAGTATATATCCCGAATTTTTCCAACAATGATCTTGGGAAAAGAGTGATTTGGTTTATCGATTGTACCAATGACTTTAAGGAGTTTAGGTAAATATTTGTTCCATTTCCGAGGGAAAATGAAAAGGAATAAATAGTTAAACTCCAATAAATTAAAAATAAATATTGAGAAAACGAAATTTATTACAAAAAAGAAGAAGGTAAAGAGCAATATTAACCTAAAAATAGATAATTTGGAAGAAGTAACAAAATTATTTTCAAATCCTCTGGATTCTTTTGCGTCGTTTCTTGATAAGTCTCAGTTGCTGACGTTTTGCCAATCATCCTGTTGAATTCGTCAGAGCTTAACTGAAATTGGTTTGAATTCTTCTCTGTCCCTGCCTGTATACTGTTGAGGGTGCAGAACTAAAAGAAGAAAAGAAGAAAGAAAAGAAAAAGATTCGCATATCGGTGAAAAGTAAAGACCTGAGTCGCAGTTGAGACCTTGTTGCTTATAGATTGCTATGGATTTTCAAATTTTTCTTTGGTAGAAGAATTGTTTAATGCAATACAAGAATTTTAGTTTGGTCAAATAAGATTTGAGATCCTTTTTTATAATTATCCTATTCTACTGCTGATCAATTTATTTGTGGAAGTTTTAAAGCTCTTCCATGTCATATTAGCTTATTAGAATGAAGCTTTAAATTCCAAGTGGGAAATCTAGTTTTAACATTATATTTCTTAAGAGCTTTTGATCAGTTTTTGTTAGTTGATATGTGGATAGTATTGTTTTAAATGTAAGAAAGGACTACAGTGGCAAGTGTGCGGTTGCTTTCGGACTCATTTTCTTTGGAGGATTGTGGTGAAGGATATTTTGTCAAAAAAATTAACCTCAGCTATCTATTGTCTTAGAAATTTAAAAGCTTCAATCCAATAAAATGTTATTTTGGTCGCCTATAATAACTCCTTTCATTCTCTTTGTTGCTTTTGCTATACTTATTTGGGGTCATAGTGCACAAGCAAGTCTAGTTTTTACAGTCAATTTATTACGGACTTACAGATGCCAGACAATCTTTTGTCTAGAACAACATTACGCAATACAAAAATAACAGCAACATATTTTTTTAAGACTGAAGAAATCATGCATTTGCATCGACTGTTCTGGATCAATATTTTTTAATAAACTACTTCATGGTATTAGAAATCTTGAAGTAAACATTTAAAAAAAATGTAAAAACTTATCTCTTAAAAAAGCCCATACAAGAGTTTTTAACTACACACATAGCCTGTTTGAATAATACAATGGAGTTGGTTCAATTACAGTTGATTTCCTACCAATGTAATGTTATGCAATGTCATTATTATCATGTACGTAGGTCAGTATAGTTAACATGCCTTCTGTGTTCTTAATGTTTTAAATTATTTTTAAGCTTGTCTTTCGGCTATTTCAATCATTAATGTTTAAATTTTTAACGATTGTAAAAAATTATGTTTTAGGAACATAAATAGAGTAAACTAAGTCAAGAAAGTGTGTTTCCTAATGTAACGTTTACATATCATTAGCATATGTTGCGTGTTTTAAATTTTGGGTCCAGTAAAACGAGTTGCCATTGTTTTACGCCTCTGTAAACAAGACAGTGATCACCGATACCTTCTGAATCGGATAGTGATGTAACAACTCATTAAGGTATCGATCTGTGTGCGTAACTTTTCTGTACACTGAAGAACCCAATGTTAGGTTTGATTTTATCTTAATAATAATATGAGATGAGAATGCCAGATGATTATTAGTTTCCAATTAAGAAAATCTCGACATGACAAAAGTAGAGATAGAGTTGCTTCTTAAAGATTTCTATAAATGTATTTGCGATGACTGGTGGTAATGAAGATCTCATGGCTCTTATTCCTCAGATTTGTTCGTAACTTTCACCGTTACAAGAAAGGTATGTTCTCAGAGAATAAGAAATTTAGAAAAGGGTTAGTCTATGTTGAATGTAACCAAAAGGTTAGGTAAACGGACTTAAGTACGAAAGTATCAGTTTTTCCTGTGAAGGTTTTTAATATAGAACCTAGATATTATACTAGAAAAAATTAATGAAGGTAAGAATTATTGAAAAAGTGTGTATTTAACTTCTTAAAATGTTTACTTAGAAGTTTTCTTTAGACATTGATTGTTTGGATTATAGGACACTTCTGGTTCTGAACATAATAAGCCAGGGACCATATTTGAACCCAACAAATCTTAAATATACTTCCAAAAATGTAAGGCCTGAGCTGGGCATAACATAAATGTCGTTATCGAAGTAGTTCACCAAGAACCGAGCATTAGAACGCATGCTAGAAAATATTATTAGAGAATTTATTAGGAGATCCATGTTACAAAGGTACTTGAGGAAGAAAATCTTCCACGTCCCAAATTATCAACTTGATTATACCTGGCAGTATTGGAAAGATCTATCAAGAATTCTTCTAATGCTGTTTGGATTATGGGACAAATCCTAAATACACTTCTAAAAAGGTAGGAAAGGCTTGGACTCCGCATTGCGGAAAACATGCAACCGAAGTGGTTAACAACCAAGGATTAGGTATTAGACTAGCTGCTAGAAATACTTCAGTTCCGAGATCTACATTGCAAAGGTACTTGAGGAAGAAAATCTTTCAAGTCCTAAATCATCACATCTTGACCATATTAAGTAGAATTGGAATGGTTTATCCAGAATTCTTCTAATACTGCGAACAACGCAAAGCCAGAGGTATTTGAAACAAAAATTCAAGCAGCCGATAATTTTACTAACCAAAGCCGACAGAATCAGAAGAGGAAATTGATGAATAATTTCTTCCAGGCGATGAAGACAATAATATGGAAGAATGATGTTACTTCAACTATAATAATGGGTGTTTTTTTTTCGATGTATAGAACTTTAAGTTGTCATTACTGTTCAAGATGGCGACCGATTTAATAGCGGTCAAGTGATTTAATTCTCAGTTTGGTTTGGCAATTCATCATGAATAGACTCACGCCTGAACAACGCTTGCAATTAGTGCAATTTTATTTCGAAAATAATGGTTCTGTGCGGAATACATATGGCGCACTACGTAGATATTATCGTCGTCAAAATCGTCCATCAGAGCAGTTAATTCGATTAACCATGGAAGGTTTTCGCACCACAATTACTCTTATTGATAACTCGCATCCCCAGAGACGCCGTACAGTGCGTACAGAAGAAGCTATTGCTGCTGTAGAGCGTAGCATTAAGGAAGACCCGAATGAGTCCATCCGCCATCGAGCACAGGAATTGGATCTGTGTCCATCCATTTATGGAAGATTTTGCATAGGGATCTTGGTTTACGTGCTTTTTATTTATTTACGTATGGCGCTTTACACACTCTATACAATATAAATGGACACATATTTCTAGATACGAAAATATACATATACACAATCATAACACAGCAAGTATGCTACGTTAATACACAATATAGACATAAAAATAGAACAAATAATTTCAGAGAGCGATGTCCAGTCCATTCAGCCATTGGATAGCCTCTTTAGGGAGTCCAACAAAGTCTGAGAGGGGGGCCGGGGTATGCGCGATTGGGACACTCGGATCGTCTGAATACCATCTTGGCAGTCACATTGAGAAGACTGCTTTATTCCCCATTTGAAAAGTGAATCACAGCAGCGCCCGTGGCCCGTGCGAACTCTATTTAGTTTCGACCAAGTGTTACGGGGCAAATCGAAGCCACTTGGTGGCTTGTTCACATTAAGAACCTGGTGCCATTCAGGGGGCGCGGCCTGGAGCCACCTTTGTTGCCAGCTTTCTTTAACATTGAAATGTGAGTTTGCAAGATCGATAGCCGTGGCAATAGGCAAGTGCCTCGATTTTAGGCGTTGTCTCCCAGCTGGGAAGTCTTCGTTTATGGGAAGATCCGAATTGCTTATTATTTTGTTGTATTCTCGGAGCAGGGCACGGGAGCGGCGAAGGTCTGGTGGCTCGATATGGCTTAGGGCGGGTAGCCAGTACAACGGTGTTGATTTTATGGTGCCCGAAATGGTGCGCATTGAGTCGTTTAGTTGTACATCCACTAATTTGGTGTGGCTGCTGTTGATCCATACGGACGCGCAGTACTCTGCTACAGAGTAGACGAGGCTGAGGGCTGAAGTTCTCAGGGTGTCTGCAGCAGCACCCCATGTAGTTCCTGCAAGTTTGTGTAGGATATTATTTCTCGTCTTCAGTTTTGCAGCCGTGTTGGTGAGGTGTTTTTTGTATGTTAGAGTCCGATCCAAGGTGACACCAAGATATTTAGGGGTTGAATTATGGTGGAGGAGTGCACCGTCGAAATATATACTGAGCCCTACGTTGGCCATTTTGTTGTTAAGGTGGAAGCAGCAAGACTCAGTTTTGCTCATACTAGGTTTCAATCTCCATTCTCGAAAATAGACTGCCAGTCCAGACAGATCATTTGTTAAAATATCTTCTGTTGCGGTAATGTGCTTGTGTTGAACGGCAATCGCAAGGTCATCCGCATATCCGAATTTCTTGGATGTG